CTAGGGACACGCACCGATGGCTCGGAGCTTGGTACTGTCAAACGCCGGTGCAGAAAGGAGTCAGGTCCTTGAAACGCTTCTTTTTTTTTTCTTTCTTTCTTGTTTCTAGCCAAAGTCTGACTCTGGCAACGTGGAGCACTGGATCAAGGTGATGTAATTTTCACAGCATTTTACCCAAGAGTAAGATACTCTATTGTTATGCATGTCACTTACGAGTAAAAGATAAAACTTGTGTTGAACAGTGCTGCAGGGTATATGTGTGTATAATTGATATGACACAGTTACCTGAAAGGCACGTCCTCCTGCATCTATAATCACCTGAAATCAAGGAGAAATGAATTCACTTGTGAACTTCCCTTGGTAATGCTTCCTTGGGTACCTAGCCTGTGTCCTGGGGCAGGTAAGAGCATGTCTCCTCCTCACCTACCCTCCTAGACCTCTCTGGCAGTAGCTTGCCCCTGTTCCCCCAATCAGTGAGGGAAAAGTTCTGCAAAAGTATAGCCTGTCTGAGCTGTGGGTGTTATATGTGAAAACATCTGATGAGTCAGGACTGTTTACCTCACAGAGAGGTGGATATCGGACAAAAAAAATCATTCAGACTTTGTTTGCACCCTGGCCAGATAGCTGATATCAGCACTTTGTCACAGCCATCAGAGTTGGTGGCTGCTGGAGGCTAACTCAGCAAATCTCTACTCAGCCTGCGCGGGCTGAGCGTTTGTGTTCTTCCAGCCTGTTCTCCAGTTGCTATGATTGGCACTAATTGCCAAATGGATGCTTACTACTTAAACCTTTCTAAGTCAAATTTCTCCACTCAATCAAGAGTAATAGCAGAAACATGTTTCCAAAGAACGATACTGTTTTGGGTTATGTTCCCATTGATGTTTCATCTCTCTCAAGGAAAAAACTGGATATAGGAAGTTTGAAAATGAATATACATTACTTCTTAGAAATATTTTCCTTTCTTTACATTAAAGAGAGTGGATCAAGCCTCTGAATATGCTGTCTCTGAAGTTTTTTCTATTCGAAAGCCAAATTATCTACAAGGGCTTTGTGGTCCTGTGATGAACCTGGAAAGCATGGAACAGCTGCAAGATCATGATGAGGCCTATGAGGAAGGTGAGCATGAATACTGCTTGCTGCAAGGTGCTTGAAGGAGCTGCTCTTGATCCAGCTTTCTGGTTCTGGTCTGAACAGGCTATTACAAAGCTTGAGACCAAAAGAAAACATTTATAGTAAGGTAGATTGGAGCCTTTCATCTAACAGAAACTGGAATAAGAAGAATCAATTGCTGGAGTTCAAGGTAGATTTTCTTTAGATTACCAGAGAGAAGGATGAACTCTGTCTCCTGCAGATTTCAGGTCAAGACAGGGATAAAAACTGCATTTGAAGATAAGCTGTAAGGTCACATACAAGTTACTGGGCTGCAGTAAACTGGATAAAATTGCTTGACGTATTTTTGACAGCAGGTCAGAATGTGAAAATAGAGTGGCCCTGTGTAACTTTCACATCTATGAATAACTGTGTATTATTGCTTTAATTGCCACACAAATTTTTCCTCACTAATTAAGCAAATACGCCCTTTGTAATGTCTGCAGCCACAAGTACTTTACTGCAATCTAAAAATAAAACTGTGGTACATAAACAAAAGATAAATGATCTCCCATCACTGCTAGAAGTACATCTGCAGCGTAAAGAACTGATAAGAGAGAGGACTTTAAAAACTATGAATTAACTGTTCTTTTAAGACTCAAAAATAAGCCTACAGAAAGAGATGAACTCTTCGAGAACATCCATTCAAATACAGGAAGTCCGCTTTTTCACTTGTAATCATCTAAGATCCACCTAACAGCACAGAATACACCCACCTGCTTATACTGCACTCTCCGAGGGCATTATACAGTATGGCTCAATTGGAGTCAGCTCTCTAGCGCTGGCAGAAAAGTTGCTTGCTTTCCTTGTGTTTCTCTATTTCTTTTTGCCCTTCTGTGCTAGTGTTTCCCCCTTTACAGCTACCAGTCCCTCAGGATTGTTTTGGCAAAGACAGAAGTACTGGAACTCATGTACTCCAGTTATGAGGAGCTCACGTTCCCCAATCAAAAAATTAACCCCCTCCCCCAAGTGATAAGCTATTTTTCCTTCTTCTTTCTCTTACCAGAGGTACTTCCCTGTTCCTGAACTGCCCTGAGAGATTATAAAGGAGAACAAAAGTGATTTGAAGGACACTAAACGTTGTTTTATTTTTTTTTTTTGGTTTGTTTTTCCCCTCCAAAAATGCCCCCTTTTTTAAAGGGGCTTTTAAAAGCCCCATTGTTCATTTTGCTTTTATTGCCTTAGAAATATCCAGACACTTTGGGAACTCTTCATTTTGTGGTAGGACTAGAGATCAGGAGCAGATGTTCCTCCTGTCTAAAGGCTCTGTGCTTTTACAGGGATTACTTGTGCTGTAGTGACTGACAAGCTCCCTGTTCTCTACCCTCTGCCTGTCCTTGCCACGTGGTTGGCCCAGCTTCTCATGGGAACATCTTGCAGTTTACAGCCCTGTGCTCTGCCTCAGGAACAGGTTGGTCATCCATGCAGAGAGGTCGGATGGTTGTTTTTGGGGCAGCCACCATGTCAGCTGTCCTTGCTCTTGAGAAGCAGCTCTGAAAGAGGAATTTTTGCATTTATCCACAGCAGGAGTTTATACCCAGATTGTTTGTCAGGCATTTGAGTTCACTGAGAGTAGCAAATGTACCCTGGGTGCATTCCTGTACTTACAGTCTTAATTTTGTCCCTACTTAAGCTTGCCACTTGACTAACTTTACTTTAGGCTTGTTGGTTGCTGTTGGAGTGGTTGCACTTGCAAAATTTAAACCGTACTCGTGAAGCAAACATTCGTCCAAACAGTGATTCTCGTTGTATTTAACATATGGCAACCTTGGTCATACATGTGGAAAACATTTGAGTGTCTGTGAGTGGAAAATCAAACCTTTGAAAGCTATCTGAGTTACGAATTACCTCATGTGAATTCTGTCTCCTTGATAAATGTTCTTATAATCACAGAAGTGATCTAAATGTCCGGAGAGTGTTGTAGGAAAAACAGTGTGGAGAAGACCTCATTTTTCATATGTGACAGGGAAGAAGTTTGCCACCTTCTCTTCCTGTTGTTTTCTTATTAATACATCAAGAAGATGAAAACAGAATTGTTAGCCCTATTCAGTTTTCTGTTGCAGATCAGCTTTCAGTCATTTTAGACAGTCTTCTGAGCATGTCATCTAACTACCACAGAGACAGAGTCTTGCTAGTTTAAACTTACCCATATACTTTTAAAGCAAGTAAAGTCATCAGTCTCTTTCCTCATGGTAGCTCAAGAGCTGGTCAGTAGCTGGATAAAGTCCAAACTGCAACAGGAGCTGATGAGTGATGGAGAAGAGGAAGCTGGCTATGTCCTCCTGGAGGAGCCTTCCGCAGCCTTTCTCAAGTACCAGCGGTTTGATGGTGAGAGCACAACAAAGCAACTTGTGGCTCATTTTCTGAGGATGCGCTGGGGGAGCGAGCCTGGCCTCATGACTGGTCAGACTGAGTGGTGCGAGTCACTCTGTAGCAAGGGCAGTGGGCTCAGTAGGCTCAAGATTAGAAGCGCAGATTTTTTTTCTCCCCAGTTCTTAGCTGGCTGTAGGACTGCCTAAATGCACCTCATAAACATATGATGTCTCCCTATGTAAAAGATTTTTTCCCTTGCTCTTGGGGATTTGCGAGGCCTGCCAGATTT